GGTAAGCCAAACTGATAGCTACGAGAAAGGCAATAGCCAGTCTTGTCCGGGAAAAGTAGAAATGGAAAGCAGTCAGCATGTAAAAGGCAGATTTTCCATTGTATCTGCTCAATTTTCTTAATAAAGGGAGACTTTTTTTTCCCCCCCAGAATCAGTAAATGCCTTGAATAAAGGCACTTTGTGTATCCTCTTTCCAATTCATGTCTCCCCTGTACTTAAGAAACCCAGCTTCTGTTTTGAGCAGTGTCTCTTAAGAAGGTGGCTAGAAAAGAACAGTGAAATAGGATATCCAAACAGTTATCCTGAACAGCAATCAACGGTTACAATTCCACTAATTACTCCAAAAAACACAGTCAAGATTTGCCACATGAAGGAAGAGGCAGTTTTGCTGTAAGGAATATGTTCTGAGCTGTTCCTAATCAAAACAAATTTGAACATACAAGGCAAACTAGCCAGAAGATACAGACATCATTTAAAATTTCTCCCTTGACATTTTTTATTATTGCTGTTGAAAAGCTGAAAGGAGGAGAAATACAACTGCTTCTCTTCTGAACAAATAAATTCTAAAAAATTGACTTAAAATCCACTCTTCTGTCTTCTCATCGATACACTGAACAACAAGTTCTTCAGCAGATCCTATGCTTAAGTTTAAGACTGTGCATATTAGCTAGGTAAAATTGTCAGAAGAAAAGTAACGACAGAAATCAATTTTTCTCAGGCATCAAGCTACAGTTGTCAAAGATAACTTTTAAATCAGTATTAATTTTGCATTTAGAGAGGCTTGGACAAAATTCTAACAAAACCAAACAAAAATGGTATATCTTAATGGCTGCTGGTTTCCTTCCCCCCCTCATTTGGCAGTTTACACTTTAAAAGTACATTAAAATTCTCTTCCGTTAACTTAAGTCTTTAAACAAAAGCAAAACAAGTTTTGAGCCACACAAAGCACTTCCAGCATCAATTTAGTTTTGAAGCGCCAGTGAATGACTGGAATTTCAACAAACAAAAGTTACAGCTAAGAGAAACACAGTTACCTTAACTAAATGTGGTCTCACTAGGGTAACAACCGATGTGTATCTCTCTACTACAGGAGGGAATCCTATTTCTAGCTGTGCTTTGCAGTATCCAGAGCGCTTCGATAATATATCTGACTTTTTACACCAAGGAACAAATAGTTTGTAATTCTCCACAACAGCAACAACTTCATACATTTCCTGCATAGAATACCTGGAAGCAGAAACACGAACATTAGTTACAAGGTATTTCAACTTCAAATTCAGTATTAACAAGTTTCAAAGATGGTATAAATGGCAGTTTAGAAGGTGAACGTAGTCACCTGAAAACACTACCACTGTTTTTGGCAATTAAAAAGAGAAAAAAAAAAAAAGTAATAAACTGGTAAAAGTCTTTGTGTAAAGATGCAAAACACCACACAACATTCGGCAGTAAAGTTAGTGAACAGTGAACCTGGTGTCTGCTAATTTCTGCAATTATCCGGTAAGTACACACACATTTAAAATGGAAAAACAGTTTTTCCAGCACAGTTGTATCATTTCAGTAGATCTTAGACATTCCACATAAAGAATCCACACTTCATGGCTATTCATAACATTTAAATAGAGGAACACTATTTTCCTTATTTTGGCACAAATGAAAAAAGCTTAATTATAAAATGCATGTAATGGAAAAACCTCACAGCATCACAGAATGGCTGACGCTGGAAGGGACCTCTGGAGGTCATCTCATTTAGCCCGCCCCTGCTCAAGAAGGGTATTGAAATCATATCAAAGAATATGATGGCAAAGTATTACACAGCTATGGGTTTTAATTCTTAGTTCTGACTCAGAAAAGAATTGAAGCACACAATTAATTCCATCTGAGTATAAAATGAAGCATATGTTCAATGTTAGTCAATAGTCAGTACTATTGGACAAAGGCTCTCTTTAAATGACTGTGCAAAATCTGTTGCATTTCAAGAACGATCACATACCTGACTGTTAAGCGTAGTAAAAAAAAATATGCTAAGAAACAAACAGTTCATACTATTGTGGACCAGAACACTGGAGGCAGATCCCATTCTTGTCAAATTAACTGGAATTCTCCCACTAGCTTTAAGGCAAACAGAATTTCAAAATCTTTTTCTATGAGCCTAAGATTCTTCATCACACAATTAATTATTTTCCTTCTTTTAAAGAAAGAAGAAAATCTCACGAAGTGAGAAGTACAACATAATCTAAGTGCAAACATCAGCACATATCTGGGACAGAAGGGAACAAATGAGATTTTTCACACCTGTTGGTTTATTCCCATTTCACCAGATGAAATTAACAGCGTGTTCTTCCCTTTCAGGGTTGTTCCTGTTTTGTCATAGAATAAAAGGATTGTTTCTGCTATTTCTCTCCATGGGCCAAGGGGTTTGGGTTCCTACATTTTTTATACTCAATTTCAGACTAGAAAAGCCTGATCTCTACAAATTCTGAAAGTCAAAACTCCTTCCTTGTCTCCAGTTGGGTAGAGTCATAGGGCAAGTGTCTTCAGGGATGCTCAGTCTTTGAACTTCTAGCGTTTTTGATTAATCACAGCAAACACAAAATCAGTAAGCATACAAAGTCTCTTTCCACAAGTTGATACAAACCCTATAATTCTTCTTTCAGAATATTCTTTTCTTTTATTTACTAGTGGTGCAGCAATGTTGAAGAAAGTTCTTGAAAAGGTATGGCTCATTACAGGTACTTGCAAAGGAGAAATTCTGGTCATCAGAATACCACAAGAAGCCAGGTGCCTGCAACAGTGAAAACACTTTTAGATGTGTTTCATATCAGCAAAATAAGTCACGACACATTCACGTGAGGCAAACAATCTGGTGTATAACATTGCAGGAAATGTCAGGTTCAGATGCAAAAACAAAGGTTCGTAACAGCATATAAACTATTAAAAACACAAGGGGGATTTTTTTTTTTTCCCTTAGGAGAAACTAAAAATAGCCCCTAGTCACGAGAAAAGTAACTGGCAGAGTAAAATACAAAGGCCCCGTTAAACATTGACTTCCCGGCAGCCTGAGTCCATGTACAAGCCTCATATGCACTTAATTTGCAGAACAGGCTTTTTTTTCAACAGCAAAATCAAGGAAGAGAAGGTTCCACTTGCAAATAGAAAGCTGAAATCTGCTATAATCCCTCTGGTGCCATCCTTCTCTCAAAAGGACAGTTTCATCTCGAAAGTCCTTTCAGAAAGTGCATTGCTTACCCAGCTTCCAAACTTGCCTTCAGAAAAAAACAACCAAAACATTGGACACAGTGTTTTTACAAATAAAACTTAAATTACCTTTAAAAATGCTAGTAATTCTAAGACTGCACCTCAGTGTTCTTTGTTTGTGAACAGCTGCACTAAAATCTAACAAATATCTATTGTGATTAATAGGTCTGTTCTGCTAAATTACTGATTTTTGCCTAGATCAAGTCAGTTACACAAAATACTACCTCAAAAGCTTTGACTTTTGGCACCAGGAAGTTAAAAAATGCCCCTATTTACTGTCAGTGATTCCACAAACATAAGTTAAAGAGCAACCTAGGTCTTTTACTGTCCTTTCGCTAATTAAACAATCAGGACTGTACTTCTGGATTCACAAAGTCAAAAATGGAACCAGCCTTCCTCACTTAGCATTAGGTTTGTTCGGCAGCTTGTTTGGTTGTCTTGGTGGGTTTCTTTTAAACACAATGAACAGCTAGCTGTATTTTGTACTAAGCACCAAAGCAGTCTACCAAATTACAGTTACCAGTTTTAAACAATTAAAATTATTACTTACACCTTTAAAAATCCAAATAACTTTGAATTCTAAAGAAACACAGTAATAACATGGGACTAACCACATTACCTTATACAGTCACTGTATTAGGAGATGGGCAAATAATCAATTGGTATTGAGTTTAGAGGAAAATAATCATCATCATCAGTTGATTAAAAACATCAGTACAGACTTTTTAAAAAAGAAATAAGCAACTGTGATACGAAGCAAGATGACTGACACCACAGATGGTAATCACTGCTGTTGAAGAGGAATTACTGAAGATGGGACAGAAGTCAAAATTAAGAACGAATAAGTCGACTTTAAAAGTCTTTAGACAACAGACTCTGCATATGTTTCAACCATATTTCAACGGATGTACACAGTGTCTTGTTTTTTTCCACGCAGACTGGACAAGACTGTTAAGAAAAGCAGTGCTCTGACAGAAACGCTGGAAGGGTGCCAGGAACATTGTAGCTGCCTCAACCAAGTTCACAGAAAGTGTTCAAATGTTTGGGCCAGACCCCATTCTGGAGAGCTAATGTAAATTACTTTCTCCATCTGGGGCTAGGTATAGTACACAGTCCAGACTAGCTGCCAGGTCTCTTCTCTTGGTTTGTTTTTTTACTGTAATGCTATGCCAGTATATTGTTTCATACAGGTTTATCTAGACTTGTTTCAGCTACATGGCTTGAAAAACAATCTTTACAAATAATCTTTCAGCTGCTGTAAGCCAATGTCCTTTTCACAATTACACTGACTTTCAAGGAGGGCAAGGTTAAGAGAGGTTATAATGCTAACAAGTATGGTGAGACTTTGTCCGTCCCACCATTTTACCTGAAGAAAAACAGATGCTGTGAGAATGTGCTGGGCTCGGTGCCAGCTCAGGAAAGCATACCTCTTCAGGAAATCACAAAAGTGAGGATTTCAATGGACTGTCAAACACGTTTGGAGAACCTGATCCAGGCCACAGAAGAAAAGCCAAGTCCATACTAGAATTCAGACACACCTACCACCTCTGTGTTTATCCTCTGACAGTAACACCACCATATCCACTCTTCCTGGCAGCATTCAACTCCTGCTACTTGCTGCTTTCTCTCTAAACCTTTGGGCACTGATCAGAGTATCACCTGACTTACATGACCTGAAAAGGAAGCATTTACTGGTGTATAGCATACCTAAGTAAGTGATCTATATTCAGTGATTATTTTTAATAGCTACAAGTTTTCTAAGCCTAAACATTAACGTATTTCTGAAAAAAAGCATATCGAACTCCTGACTATAAAGACTGAAATTAGCAGTAGGAGCATGCTGGGGCAGTTGTGTTTACTGTTATCCCAACTGTCACTTCCACAAGGTTAGTGGTATCTCATGGCCGTTTCATGGTGCGAAAGACACGAGTTGATCTCATTCAAATTCTTTGTCAACAGCTGTTCACATCCCAAAAAATGAGCATTGCCACCAAGCGTACTCATTAGCATCCCAGTCTGAACAAGCACAAAGATTAATTTACCACCTGAGTCCTTGAAGTCTGCTACTCAGCCACCAGGTTGACAACAGGTACAGAATGTACAGCTATGACAACTGCAAGACGTGAAAGCGTACCCAGCTTCAAGGCTACAAATAATACAGCACCATTTTGGATTCAGCTTGCAGTTGCTTAAAACCAGCTGCCAAGATTCTTGCAGCTTACACTAGAAACATCTTCAACCTTAGTTTGCAGACACTTAATGAGCTTCCTTCTATTGAACACCTTTCCCAGTAACCAATTTTGCTCTCAAGACTCTAATAAATTACTTTAAAAAACCAGCAATTTGGTTTACCAGGATTGAATTATTTCAATATTGCAAACACATATTAAAGATGAAAGCACAAAAGATATACAGCAGGAAGTGTGGTCCAAGTAAGAGGACATTATACCTCTGCACAGTAATAATTATGCCAAACGACTACTTGACATCATGAACCAATCTCTATTCCACTTTTTCACTGTTTTTATGAGGATGACCAGAAAACTTTGAATTTATCAAAGAAACATAGCAGCACTACAGTAACAGTAGTAACAGGTGAACCTTTTTTTCTCCTAAGATTTTCAGATTGCACTCTCTCTCTCTCTCTCGTCTGCTTGTTCTTTTTCTTCCAGTTAGAAGATCAATTCTTCTGCCAAAGTATATTTTGTTTCTCAAGTTGTTCCAGGCATGTTTCCTTACATGTAATGGGGCGGATAAGGAACTTGTTGCATTACCTGAAGTGAAAAATATCTGGGCATCTTACTCATCTTTAATTTCTCTTATGGATTGTTCACAGTTATGCAACTGGCTCAAACAAAGAAGAGGCAAGTTTATACTCTGAAAATCGTTTGTTTTTCCATCGCCACGGACCGCGTTGAAAGGAGCCAGGAGCTACCGAAGCTGAGGGTGCCTCAGCCACCCCCGTGGAAAGCAGGGCCGGAGGGATCCGGGAGCACCGTCCCTCTCCCCTTCCCCGAAGCCGACAGCTGCTCTCCGGGGCAGCAACAGGCAGCGCCCCGCTCCCCGGGGCGGGGCGAGCCGGGCAGGGGCTCGCCCAGCACCGCCCCGCGGGCTGCAGAGCGCCCGGGAGCGTTCACTCTGGAGCGTACTGAAGGACCGCACTGAGGGACCGCGCGCCTCAGGCGGCCCCACCCCGCCCCCGGGACGGGGCCCCGGCCCGGCCCTGGCGCTACAGCGGGGCCACCCGGCGGACTGAGG